GAATTGGACATACATTTTTCAGATAATAGACAAGGTAAAAGTTATGGTTGCAGGTCTATTACCTAAAACTGTAAGGCTTATATAACATTGTATAAACCAAACTTGCACAAATGCTGCATCAAGAGATGAAAACTCTCAAATTTGCATCAGATGCTGGATTTTCATTTTCATGAAGAAGAAGTAGTTTAAATTTTTTATGTAGGTCTATTTCAAAGTATCAGATCAAAATTGCTTTTAAAAATATTTTCATTTTTGGGATGTATACTTTTTGTTGGTTAATTGTGTGACTTTGCCTTACTTAAAGACAACATTTGTTGAGGTGAGCTCTGTAATCTCTGATTACCTATGTTATACATGATATAATCACCCTTACGTACTGTGGAATTTTCAAGTCATGCATGGGGACCCTGAAGGTAGATGTAGATTTGGGAATAAAATTTTTAAAAATAATCTTCTCTGACATGAACAACAGGGTGAGACAATGAAAGTGACATTTTGCTAGCATCCTTAGCATGCACGGTCAATTGAGATTCAGATTTGTTTACACCCTCGTCTTTAGGGGTAACGTTGGGTTACATTAAGGGGTCTAAATTTTACATGGGAATGTACTGAGGAAGTCTTTAGATTTCCAAAAAAATGTATATTTTTAAAATTTTTCTTTCAAGAACCACTATTAACATGATTAATTTAATTGATGTAATATGCAGGCATACATATTACATAGGATGAGCATTTGTTCAAATAATGGCCCTTTTGGTATGGCAAGAATACTGTAGGGGACATTTTTTATAGGAATTTTGAGATATTTTTTAAAAACCGTGTTAAAAAACGACAAACTAAATATATTCATATGCCACGTTCTTCATCCAAATTTTTAACCCTTGGTTTATTATGGTAGGGCAAAAAATTGTTGAACAACTTTAAACTGATGCATGTATTCAAGGGGGGTATGTTTGTTATATTGAAAGATAATTTAAAACATGTATAACAAAAGCAGCATGTATTCAAGTTATTCTATATGTTATGCCCCTTTGAGGATAAATTGGGCCACAATATTGGGTCAGAGTTTATCACGACAGGGCCAGTGTATGCACAAAGTTCTTTACATATGAGTGGGGCTGCATGCTCACTCCCCCACTCCCCCGGAACCCACGTACTTGAAAAGGATGAGGATATCAGGCATCATTAATAACAGGGAATACGAATCTTTGTCTTGATTATGAAGGCTTAACTAACACACAAATGCTGAAGTGTCCTTTGAAAAAGTTTTCTGTGTGTAGAAACATTACTTTGTGTACAAACCCTAATTCTTATTCAAGAGTGTCGTTATAGAGCCAATCGCAAAACCCCTAAAGGATTACATTGTTTGTGACGAGCTGACGCTTTGCTTGTCGAGAACTTTAAATACTACGTCACATTCTCGCCACATCAAAGGACGTAACCGAGATGGCGTCTCTCCCACGCTAAAGTCGGTCAGCTGCAACATACAGCTTGTTTTCGGGGTTCAAAAAATGGAGTAGACAGTCCCGATGTCGTTTTCTTGAATGTTACCTGCAAAGTTTAAAGTTTTTTTTAAACCTTGAATTTAAAAAAAAGTTTTTTTTAACCTTGATTTTAAAAATGTAAAGATTTTTTCACTCCATTACGAATATTTTAATTGGTCGATTATTTTATTCTATTATCGCAATTTTTTTTCATACTTGCGAACAAGTATAAAAGTCGAGTAGTGCATGATTCATTGATCATTAGATTTGTTAGTTACGCGTATCAACCCAAGTCATGCATGCTGAGATTGTTGGATTTGGTACAAAATATACTGGTGAAAAATGGATACCCTCTTTATGCGTATATTCGAGAGAAAAGATAAAGAGGGAAGGCCTGGGAAGACGTATCCATTTACCTTCAAATTTTAACGATTGAAGTTCAATTTATTTTTAAGTTTTAACGAATGTTGTATGTACAAGGTAATTTATACCAAACGACGGAAAATATCTAATTATCATGGGCGTCGGAAGCAAATTAAAGTGGGGGCTAAGGGTAAGAAATTTTTTTTTAGACCTTCCAAAAAAACCTGAGAAGCTAAAAAAACAAAAACAAAAACAACAACAACAACACACACACACACACACACACACACAAAAACAAAAACAAGGGATGTGTATTTTCCAAACACAAAAATCCTATTTCGTGGGTATACCTACGCAGCAATGTTCAATGTCTATACTAAGTCTAACTTTGAAACCCCCCCCCCCCCTCTCTACGCTCGCCCGGTTTCGACGCCTATGTCTATAAAGTCTAAATCTAATTACACATGCATTTTCTGATTCCTTTAGATGGGCCTGGCAGATTTTGAAAATAAATAGACTTTGTCCACGTGTTTCCTCTGAAGAAAAGGTTTTAAAGAAAATTTGCCAGTTACCGGTACTAAACTGCGTCGCAGGGAGCGTGCGCTAGTTTTGTTATGTTGCAATTTTTAAATGATTAAAATATAATTAATATATTCTGGTATTTGCAATGAGTTTCTATAGGTGTTTTTATTTGGGTGCTTAAGCATTGTGCTATATATTTCTTGGAGAAGAACAGGTTTGTGATGTGGGTTGCACTAACCCGCAATATTGGCTTTATTCTGATTTGTTTGTACATTGACCTAAAGAGAATATCGTCATATATACTGATGCAACAAGAGTGGATTACGGTCTTGAAATTTTTGTGACAGTCTCATGTACCTAAAGTACAGTGCACAATGATTTTTACGAATTGATATTTTTAGTATATACATGTACTAAAATAACATGAAACTTTTACTTAAGCTGTTGTAAAGTATCTTTATTAAAACGTAAAACCTTTCGAACAATATGTTTGAAACGAAAAAAAAGAAGGGTGGGTCGAGGGCTGGCCGAGCTTTTCTGATCACATTTTGCCTAACGTCTGTTTATCGGTCTTTAAACTTTTCACGTTTTCGAGTTCTTCTCTAGAACCACTGGGCTAATGTTAACCAAACTGCCACAAGGCATTTTTTAGTAAACGGTATTCAAGTCTATTCAAATGAAGGGCGACTTCTTCGAGGAGATAATTCAGAAAATGTGAAAATTTGCAATTGATGACATGTTTTTAAAATCATCTCAAGAAACAGAGTGCCAAGAATGTTGAAACTTATGGGAGAAAATTTCAAGACGTGTAGATTCAAGTTTGTTCATATATACTCCCATCCCCTTTAAAGGTAGATTGTGACCACTTATGGATTTAAACTTTCAATACTGAGCTGATTTCTGCTATTTTCTTAGCCACGTTGCTCAGGTATGCGATGTAGCCCATGGGCCTCTTGTAGTTCCACTTCGTTAGTACAATATAAATATTCATTGAATCGCATGATTATTAAAAGTTGTCGTAGCATTCGATAAAGTTGTCCCACAGTTGCTGAAATCGCACCTGTTTTTTTTTTCCATTCTAACCCCCCCCCCCCCCATATATGGAGGATATGTTGCTGTTTGCAAAAACTCTGCGTACGTAGTGCTCAGTATAGGTTCCCTGTTATGGGTATTTACATGTTCTTACAGAAATCTCAGTTTTATAAAGGATTGTGAAAATGTGCTTTTGAGTACTTTTCTACATAATGCACAGTATTTAAAAATTCTGCAGCAGTGCATGTATGACGTATATGATCAATCGGAATGGATTTAATGTGTGCTTACTGATAATTAAAAAATCAGAGACTGAGTGCTAAATTAACGAAAATACCTGATCATATTTTAAACATCACTGATGCAATAGAGTGAAATATATATATATATTCAGCCACTGAAACGTTTCCTGGAGAGAGAGAGAGAGAGAGAGAGAGAGAGAGAGAGAGCTATTATACATGTGTGTATTTTTTAAAGCAAAACTATGCACCCGTTCTAATTTAGTATTTTTACATAATTATTGACAATTGTGAATAGGCATACTTCTCTTCTTGACAGAAATGTTCTTTTATATATGGATACTTAAAGTACAAGTACATATTTTTCTGGTATAATACGGCTGTTTGGGGTATACATGTAATAAAAAAATCTATGTATACTTAGTTCTCAAGTCTCAAGTTCACGGCTTGATACACGAACGGAATATTTCTCTTTTCCACAGAAAAATCATTTCACATCAACAGTACTAGTGATTTGAAACAATTAAAATACTACACAATCCAAGAATGACCAGGACGAATACTTAAAATCCAGCAATTTAAATTGATCATGTACATCATTTTATATCGCATGTATACTGTGCCATATACCGGTACACAAATGGTAAATGCTATAAAATTAAATTTTCACGGCTTTCATTTATTACGGACTCCAAAAAATGCATATAATATAAATAATGCTCTTTTTAAACTGCATGTTTAATAAGATTTGTGTTTTCTGTCCCCTTTTGTAAACCCGTTAAACGTCGGCGATGTGTATTGCAGCTGACCGACTTTAGCGTGGGAGAGACGCGATCTCGGTTACGTCCTTTGATGTGGCGAGAATGTGACGTAGAATTTAAAGTTCTCGACAAGCAAAGCGTCAGCTCGTCACAAACAATATAATCCTTTAGGGGTTTTGCGATTGGCTCTAAGATAATTTAACTTCCCATTATACATGTAATAAAATGCTCTGAATCATGCAGCATTCAAGCAACTGCGTATATCATATTGTTGTTAAACCTTTGATTTGAACATATTTTATTGTAATATAATTTACAAAGGGATTGAGCAAAAGTTCTGAAAACTTATAACGCCCTATACATTTAAATTACACATTTATATTGTCACGGTTAAACATGCTATATAAAGTATTCAGTATTTGCAAAAGTAAATAAATTGATGCATTTTGCATATATGTATTGATATATAAAAAGTTGAACAAATTCATATATTAACCTTTGTTACAATGCACTTTGAAAAATCCTAATCCGTAATGAAACTCATTTTTTGCGTTGGCCTGTAATTCAAAACTAAAATTTTATTTGCATTTGCCTTACAGATATGACTTTGTTACTGTTGGCCGCCCAGAATAATTTCACGAACACTGCTCTATGCTTGTTAAGAGAGGGGAGACAAGTATCCAATCAGATCGACAGAAAAGGGAACACGCCATTACATTACGCCGTGAAACAGAAAAACTTAACTGTCGTGAAAGCACTACTAAATGCAGGTAAACAAAATATCACGAAACACTGAACTTACGAATCGAATGTCGGATAGAACATCACTCGGCCTTTTCCGTCGAAAATTTTCCCCACTTATCGGAAAAGGCCGAGTGATTTTCCGATTAATATCCACTGGTTATCTCTTTTTTGCTAATTATTGATGAGTAAAATTAAAAAGCAATCCCCATGGGTATCAATCGATGACTTTCAACATCATCTTATAAATTCATTAAATTATTGAAAAGATGTTAAAAAAATCGAATTAAAGTTTAAACAAAGTCAATATTAAGAACTTGAGATGTCAGACATTCTTGTCTAACTTTTAATTATTTTTTTTTTTGCAGGATACGATGTGAATGCTAGAAAACAATACAGCGGTCTTACACCGCTACACATTGCTGTGACGGTGTACGACAATTTTGATGATTTCTTGGAGGTTTTTAAAGCCTTTCTTTCCAAGAATTGTAACTTAAATCACCAGTGCTTTGGAACGTTGGAAACTCCTTTGTACAGAGCAATTGTTTTGGACAAAACTGAAATCGCCGAGTTATTGCTTATTTCCGGGGCGGATCCTAATTTATCGAATCCGTTTGGGGTATCATGTCTGCAGAAAGCTGTCCAGAAAAATCATACTCGATTGACAGAGGTTCTCCTACATTGTGGAGTAAACAAGAAGAAGGAGATAAGTATCATAAATAGGCAATCTTCTCTGATTCGACAAATGGACAATTTAATAGATCTCACAGATCTATTCTCAGAAACACAACCCAAAACTCTCCAAGCATGCTGTCGTGATGTCTTAAGGAGATGTTTCAAAGTCAATCTGTATACCGGCTTGCAAAAACTTAACCTCCCTAAGTATATCAAAGATTACCTGCTCTTTTGTGACATCAGTGACTACCACAGGCTTTTGACCAATATCAATATCAGACCAATTTAAAATCATTCAATTCATTAAATTTTGAATTCTATTTTAAAAATTCTGAATTATAGAAAACATTTCAATTTTCAATTTAGGTGAAAGGGTACCATAAAAAATGAGTTTTAATTGTGTCTGGAGGCCTGAAAAGGGTATTGTGTGCCATGTTTGTTATTTTCTAATTTGTAGCTTTGCACATATTGTTACGGTACATGTAGTAGTTTGCTTTTTTGTATTTGTTCATCGAATATTGAACTTATTAATTTTGCACTGTTACAGTAACTGTTTATACGTATCTTTTACATATAAAAGTGAATCAAAATGTAGCTGTTACATTGCAATGTATTATTAAATATTGAAAGATGTGGAAAGGTTTTGTTTTGTTATATTGCAATGTATTATTAAATATTGAAAGATATAGAAAGGTTTTGTGTTGTTTACTGTTTACATATAACAGCAGGCACACAAGCAAATTCAAAGAATTGTGGTGCTCTACTTTCGGTGTCTTAGTGGATGAGCTGCCATTTTTAATAGCATATTGTGTCAAATATGAACGCCCAGTCATACCGGTATATGTCATGCAAAAGAAATCACCAAAATAAAGTTTTGGAAATTAGTTCAAACATGAAGTCAAGGTCAAGACGTCAAAAATAATAGCATGCTCTGAAATGTATTGTCACAATGCACATATTAAATATGAAAGCTCCATCTGTTACATGCATGACTAAGGTTAAAGTATTTGTGACATACTATGAGACGAACAGACTGACTAACAAATGAGATTTAATGTCCCCTCAATTTCGCGATAGCGGGGGACAACAAAATGTGTTTGTGAAATATAAAAGCATCCCTAGGACAGCTCATGTCAAAGAAGTTGTAGCCACAATATAAAGGTGATCAAAGTTTTACATATAAGGAATGCAGAATAAAATCCTAAAAAAAATCCCAGGAACAGCAAAGTGATGATTAGTCATGCATAGAGACATAACCTACATAACCTCAGGCAGTGTTAATTTAAGTGTGTTCAAACTATAATCCCGGTAATAGGGTGGGGCTACAATGACTGATTGGGTTAACATTTACATGAGAGTACATTACGATGAACAAAAAGGTGAGCGTTGTGTCCCATGTGCTCCTGTTTATACTATCGAACTAGAGTGATAAATATCTCCGAATGTTGTGTGTGTGTTTTTTAATTGGATTATTCTTCATAAGTAACCAAGATTATAGGGCGTAATATTTTGATATAATTTAAAAGGTTTCTTATCTATGGCACGCCAAATTCACAAAAATGAGATAAACCTAGTTTCACAATTGATAAACTAGGTTTATCGACTGTAAACTATAGTTTACAAACCGTAAACTGTAGTTAACGATTCGTTAAGTATAGTTAACGATTCGTTAAGTATAGTTTTCATCTGTAAAACTATATTTAACGGTCGTTAACTATAGTTTACGAATGCTAATCTGAGTTTATCTGTCTGAATAAAGCGTTAACAATAGATTTTATTGATAAACATAGATTCACGTTTGTAAACTATAGTTTACAATCGTAAACTATAGTTAAGAGTTGTTAATCATAGTTTCATAAATCGTGAAACTATATTTATCAGATTGTTAACTATAGTTAACGGTTTGTAAACTATAGTTTACAAATCGTGAAACTGTATTTATCAGATAATCTATGTTTTGCGATCGCAAATGATTGTTTTCGATGTTAAGTATAGTTTACGATTGTGAAACATAGATTATCGCGTTAACTATGGTTTACAGATGTAAAATATTGATTAACGTTGTTAACTATAGTTTACAGTCCGTAAACTATAGTTTACAACCGATAAACCTAGTTTATCGACTGTGAAACTATGTTTTGCTCATTTTTGTGGAATTGGCGTGCCATACTAATCTCATAGTAACATTCTGTCAAATTCGGTCAAGGGAATGCATGAAAAACCATTGATTTAAAAAAATGGTCCTCGACTGAAATCTAAATATTCTCCAAAACTAACAAGTCATATAGAGAGTTATGAAATAGTTACTATCTTGATGCACAGTTAATACACATATTCAATACAAATATTTCTAATAAAAAAATGCATGTACCAATGCCTCTTGTGCATGTTGATACTCATGATGCTTTATCCATACATACTTGTTGATCTTTTTTAAGTAGAAAATTTATTTGGAATGTTTATTCCCCTTTCCTGTGCTTTGATAATTTTCCTTATAAATTTAATGACGAACTTGGACAAAATCAATGCATTACTTCTTGAATTCAGTTATTACATACTTGTGAGTTATTTTAATAATATCTTAAAAATGAATTATAAAGAAAGAAAAAAATCTTAGAATACATTTAGTTTTATAATATAAACACTTTAATCGATATACTATAGTATTACTTATCTAAAGCAAAACAAGCGAATTCAAAGAATTGTGGTCCCCCGCTTTCGGTGTCTTTGTGGGTGAGATGTCATTTTTTATAACATATTGCGTCAAATATGAAAACCCTATCATAATTATGTCATTTAGAAATTATCACCGAAGTTGAATTTTTATAAAAATGTCAATCGTGAAGGTCAAGGTCAAGGACTCAGAAATCATAGATGCTTGGATATATCTTGTCACAGGTAATGCACATGTCAAATATGAAAGCCCTATCTCTTCTCAATCTAAGTTATAATGAACAAGATGTGTTTGTTTAACACTAATGGCACCGTATGACAACATAGCGAATATTAAACTTTTCTGAAATGCAAATTGAATATAGTGTTACCCAAAGTAGGGTCTTCTCACAAGAAATACGATTGTGAAATATGAAAACCCTAGCCCACCTGTTTAAAAGTTATGGCCAAGGATACTAGTAAGTCGGTCAAACTCCAAAGTCAAAGGGTCAAAGTTGCTAGTTTCTTAAGAAAGGCCTTGTCACAAGGATTACATATGTGAGGTAGGAAAGCCCTAGCCTTTACCGTTCAATAATTATGTCCAAGGTTAATTTAATAGCTTTTAAATAGTAGGTCAAACTCTAAGGTCAAGGTACATGTAAGGGGGTCAAAGTTCTTGTTATCCAATGAAAGTTCTTGTCACAAGGATTAAATGTGTGAAGTTTGAAAGCCCTAGCCCTTACTGTCCAAAAGTTATGTCCAAGTTTTTTTTTTTTTTTTTTTTTTTTTTTTTAAAGTAGGTAAAACTCCTAGGCCAGAAGGTCAAAGTTCTTGATATCCAATGAAAGTTTTTGTCACAAGGATTAAATGTGTGAAGTTTGAAAGCCCTAGCCCTTACTGTTAAAAAAATATGGCCAATGTTAAAGTTTTTAAAAAGTAGGTCAAACTCCAAGGTTCTTGTTATCCAATGAAAGGTCTTGTCACAAAAATTAAATACTGTAAACGTACTTTTTTCCACGTGGTCATAATTCCGCGGAATCTCTGTTTCTGTTTAATCCGCTGGTAGTAAATTACGCGGATATCTTAAGATTCTCATTATATGCCTTATATATATTTGAATTAAGTTCGATGGGACTAATTTCCGCTGAAAATTTGTGACCGCATACATAGCGTAAATTAATACCACGCGGATAAAAGTATTTCTACAGTATGTGAAGTTTGAAAGCCCTAGCTTTTAATATTTAAAAATTATGACAAAGGTTAAAGTTTTTTCACAAGTACAGAAATCTCCAAGGTCAAAAGCTCAAAGTTTTTTGTATCCAATGAAAGGACTTGCCAAAAGGGGAATATATGTGAAATATGAAATGCCTAGTATCTACCGTTTAAAAGTTATGGCCAAAGTAAAAGTTTAAAATGTTTGTGTAAAAGTGGGTCAAACTCCAAGGTCAAGGTCAAATTTGGTGGCATCCAATGAAAGGTCTTGTTACAACGAATACTAGTATACATGTGAAATATGAAAGTCATAGCTCCACTAAATCAAATGTTATGAACTTATTGCCTGACGTCACGGCGTCAGGCAGTATAAGGATTGACATTTTCAAGATCCGAAAATGTGCGACCATATCCAAAGAGCTAGATTTTGTGCAAGCTGATTTACATTGGAATTCTTTACCTGCATTTTTAAAGAAACAGTTTTCAGAAAAAGAAAGATATTACTGATGCGAAATACTGCAGTGTTTACTTCCTTTAATCTTTTTGCATGGAACAGATTATTCCATATGATTTGCCGTTTCAACATGTCCGTGTATCCTTTTTTCTGCATTTCTATACCACTGGATCAGTCCATTTATATTCTACGAAAGGGGTGAATCGCTCTTTCCGCGCCAAATGTCACTAGTAAGCTATCTTCGCGCCTTTTCCTTGGATTGTTCTATTGTATGAATGGGTGTGCTAACTTCCAATAAAGTTTGTTCTTTTAACTTCCTTCTAATGCTTCAGAAATTCTTTCTACAAGTTTTATACCATTCTTTAAAACAACATATCGTATACATCAGTATACATGGTATATGGACATGTAACACTTAAGAAATGATGTTTCTAATTTGTTTCCTAATCCTGTATGTATCATCTACTGTGTATATATGATGTCTAATTTAAATGAAATAAAGTTTAAACTAATTTGTTTATCGATCCCGCGGTTGGTTTATTCCATAAATGGACGAGTCCAATAATAATAAACAACGCAGTTAAAGCCATCGTCTCCAGATGCATGATCTATTATATGTCTTTGTTCAGATGCACACGATAAATAAAAAAGTAGTGAATAATCTAGGATATTTCTTTCTACAAAGCCTAACTATTGAATTTACTTATTCCATTCTCAATATATCATGTATATTATGATAGTGGCATCACCCTCCCTTTTAAGAAAAAAAAAATAATGAACACACATTACTACTGTTTACTTCAGAGGAGAAAATACACTCCAACAAAATGTGTTTTTAATTATATCCATCTTTTAAAATGTTCACAATGCGTGATTTGATAACAGATTTTATAATACTAGGTGTTACAATGTAGCTTGAAATCAATTTAGATCCAAGGGCAGATCACTCCACTTGCAGACCCCCCCCCCCTTCAACTACAAAGTTCTTTAGTATGCAGTGTAGAGATGATTCTTCTACACGTTCAGTAAAATCAAGATTTCAATTACATAAGGTTCTCAAAATATAAAGTTAGGATATTTTTTAAACCCACAAAGTATTGCTCAAAAGGTTTATCACTCTTCATGCAGATAAATTGATTGATTTAGTCAGGCAAGCTTTTTAAAAAGCTGTTACTTGTGGGCAAGGTTAAAGGTTTTGTGACGGACAGACTGACGGACAGACGAATGAGATTTAATGTCCCCTCGCTATCGCGAAAGCGGAGGACAATAAGAAAGAGAAAGCAAGAATTATGCGATTCATTGCTCACAAGTTACCTGTATATCCCTAGTCTGATTTGAATACTATTATACGCTCTCGTATCCGAGATCAGTTAAAGAAATGATAGATGTACTTAATTTCTTTTTAATAAGGGTTCATCATTTCATGAAAGCTAATATAGAGAGGCAATATCCACAGTAACAAATAACGAAAGCTTTATATAGGAAATTGGCATCAAATTCGTAGAAAAAAATTAATACTACCATGCACTAGGCATGCCAAACAGTATAGCATTGAAAACTAGAGGTACTGTGAGCGATGAGCTCACTAAATGATAACCCCCGCCTCCCATATGGTTATAACTGGTGAAAACTCCATGTTTTCCTGTGGCCGGGAAACCCAAAATATGTGTCGGATCAAAAAGTAAAATAGGAGGTGCACAATGGCAATATGTAATAAAGGTTCTGTGAAAGTTGCATCAAATTTCATTCAGTGGTATGAGAGGAGTTGCGGATAAGAGATGGGTAACCCAAAGCGTAACAGACGGACGGACGGACGTACAGAATTAACGATTACTATATACCCTCCCGCTTTTCAAGCGGGGGGTATAATCAAGGTTTTATGAACGAAAAACTAAGTGTCATTACATGAATAGAGAATGGGGGATAAGCATGCTGTAAGATATTATGTTAGTAGATATTTAAAACCTTAGGAGGAATTTAAAGTACTAGTAAACTGACCTCTCAGCATTATCAACAAAATACTACCTTAACCGCTCATTCTTAGAACCCCAGTACTGGACTACCTTAAACAAGAGGCCCATGGGCCACATCGCTCACCTGAGCACTATGGCTAGGAAAAAGTAGAAATTTGGTTATTATTGAAAAGTTTAAATCCAAAAGTAGTCCCATGACCAATCATGGCTTTGCTATTCTTAAGAAGATGATTTTTAAAGAAATTTCCTATATATGTCTATGTAAAACTTTGGTCGGCCATTGTGGCCGCGCCCTACCCCCGGGGTCATGATTTGAACAAACTTGAATCTACACTACCTGAGGATGCTTCCATATATATATATATATATATATATATGATCAATTATGGCTTTGTTGTTCTTGAGAAGAAGATTTCTAAAGAATTTTCCTATATATTTCTATGTAAAACTTTCGTCGGTCATTGTGGCCCCGTCCTACCCCTGGGGGTCATGATTTGAACAAACTTGAATCTACACTACCTGAGGATGCTTCCATATAAATATGATCAATTCTGGCTTTGTTATTCTTGAGAAGATTTTTAAAGAATTTTCCTACATATTTCTATGTAAAACTTTGGTCGGCCATTGTGGCCCTGCCCTACCCCCGGGGGTCATGATTTGAACAAACTTGAATCTACAATTCCTGAGGATGTTTTCCCATAAGATTCATCTTTCCTGGTGCATTGGTTCTTGAGAAGAAGATTTTTACAACATACCAGCAAACTTTCATTAATTCCCAATTATCTCCCCTATAATGAAGGCATGGTCCTTCACCCAAGGATGCTTTGTGGCAAGTTTGGTTGAAATTGGCCCAGCGGTTCTTGAGAAGAAGTCAAAAATGTGAAAAGTTTACAGACAGACGGACGGACAGACAGACGGACGCCGGACAAAATGTGATCAGAAAAGCTCACTTGAGCCTTCGGCTCAGGTGAGCTAAAAAACTAAGAGCTAGAAAGACAGATGGTGTCTTTGACCAGTTTTACAATAAAATTAAAAGTTACACATTCTTTTACCATACAAACGATTCTCCACATATAGGGTTATCAGGTATCAAAACACTATCTTAAGGAAAAATGTACAAGTGGGGAAACGTTGAAATAACTGCAAAAACTAGTACTAGTATTATGATAAACGGAAATTTTTCATGATTTCTTGAACAGAAAAAAATATATTGTACATTCAATTCCAAAATAATTGTGGGAGTTGCTGTGGAATGAATGCAAGTTTTGTATACAGAATATCTAATTAAACAAAATAAAATGTATCAATAATTTCTAAATTCATTTTCGTTGTCAAATGTCTTTGCCTGTTGAATCTTTCACTTTAAATGACCATGCCAAACACATGCCTGCAGAATGAAAGAAAACAAATTATGGAAAACAATTATGGTATGCATTATCCCTTGCCATCCTTGTTAATCTATACATATGTTTTTCACTTCAAATTCCATTTCCAAACTACACTATAAATACTTGTGCATTTTACTCATTGAAACACGACTGAGGTTCTTGTTTTCTGTCCTCAAAAATCCTGAGTAATGTTACAACTTTCAAGATAGTAGTAGTAATACCATTCTCAATCCCTTGCAATCGTCCATAAATTAAAAATCGATGCTTAATAACTGCAAAAATCAATCAGAAAGTTGAAATATTGATAATCAGTTAATATGAAATTGAAAACAAGCAAGATCATGATACTTACTTAGAAATGAGAAGAAAGCTACCATGTAGAACATGCCATACCAGTGGATGACTACTTTTAGTTTTGACGTCAGTAATGCTGCTATGGGAGATGATATAACCTAACGAAGAAAACTTACAAAAATGTTTAATTTAATTTAAACAAGCTTGATTAACTTTTACAATGTCACTCGTCCAAATATAGATTCGATGAAAATAATTATACATCTGACTGTCGTCTACTTGTGCACAAATTTTATTGGAATCAAAATAAAACTGTTAGAATAGACCTTGGAGACAATTCAATAGAAATATCAATTTTAAGTAATCCTGGCGACACCACTCGTCAAAATCATAAACAAGAGAGTGCGAGTGGTGCATCTTAATATCATGAATATAGCTACTAGTATATGTGTATCAAGTTTCATTGATATCAGACCAAAACTGGAGTGTATAGGGACATTTTAAAGAATTTACTTTGCAGACAGACTGCTAGATGGACATCGTTCATTTAAATTACGAAATGATAGAGTATAAATCGAACAAAGAAAAAAGAGTTGTGGAGAAAATCAAAATTTCAAGATCACTTTGATATTTGTGTGAGGGAGAGGGTGTGTGTGTGTATGTTTAAATATAATTGCCATATGGTGATCCCTGTTAAAAACTTACAGAGGCAGTGAAGACCATTCCGTAGTTTACACCGTAATGTTCTTTCCCAAACGCTCTTGCAGTAGCAGTTGGTAGCAGTGAAAAATTTCCAGAGAATGAAAGAAACAGGCAACACACCCATATGAGATACAAAGGTTTCCCAACTAAACTCGTCAGTTCAAAACTTAGAATAAAAAATGAGAACAGGCCAGTTGAAAACACCATGGCAGTCTGAAAACATAAACACACATATCAAACATTTTCAATCATCATTACACATTATATAAATATGTAGTTGAGTGTAACATTGAAAATTTTGTAACATTGAAAATTTTCAATGTTACTCTCAACTACATGCAATATTTATTACATCATACTGAATGTTTTATACAAAACCACTGTCAAACTCGGCTGCACCTCGGTTGACAATGGTTTTCTTGAGGTTAAAATTTTCAATGTTACACTCAACTACATGCAATATTTATTATATTATACTGAATATTTATACAAATACATATAACAGTTGTCCGCGCGCATGAATTCGGCGCAGTCGCTATTTTTTTGGAACTTCATCCGTCGTCAAGCACTGTTGACCGTTGCTACGCTGGAGGGCGTGGCTTCATTATTCAGCGGGTAATAGTGTTTTTTCTCAAATGTTTCTCGACCAATCAGATTTAATTAAATTACATGAAAGTATAATATATTATAATATGTATAACATCAACGTGAAATATACGGAGATTACGAACAATATTATTCAAACCCAAACACTGACACTAACGTCATGTGATTAACTCACTATTTGAAGGCTTCTTTCTTATTTTTAACGTCTTTTATTTTTACATGTACTTTATTTTTTTGGCAATCAGTAAAAATTGTTTTTCTTGACATTCAGTTAACAACGTTTCTTTGTCCTATGCTAGAGACTGACTATTTGTCAGCATCAACATTAAATGTAGGTACTAGCCTGTGACACACTGGTCTGGAAAAAATGGAATTAAGAACCAGCGAGCTGCATCTACTCAAAATGATTACGACATTGCCAAAAGGCAAAACGTGTTGTCATCCGTAAAGTGCACACAATTTTATGTTCTGTACAGATTACATACCTAAATATTTTATGGTCTGTTTAGTATTTACGCTGTCAAAATTTAAAGTTAATATTTCACCTTAAAAGAGTATTTGTCTGCTAAGGCACCCCACATTATACGGCCGCCTCCATTACAGACAGCTGAAAGGGAACCCACAACGGCTAGGAAATAGTCGTCACTGATGAAAGTTTGTCCAAACGCCTGGAAAACAGAACACGGGACATTATACAAAAAAATATAACTATTGTTGTCTTGAAGATTTAAACACTATATTCAAAAGATTTTACTATATTTGGATCGAAACATTGCAATTTAATGTTGTTTTCGCAATGTTATTTTTTTAAATAAATAACTTTATCTTGCATGGCAAATGTAATACTTGATGTTGATAATAAAAGAGTTTACTGGATACAAGTACATCATGCAAAAAATTCATATCTTATTGTAATCTTTAATAAAACATAAAAATATACCTTATATAACGAAGATATAAAACTTATTCCCTGTCCGTTGAATAAGTAAATAAACCAGAGCTTGTAAAATTCAGACTGTCGTAAAGTTTCCCTCGGTGAAAAGTTTCTTTCCTCACTAAACATAATTTGAATCCTTATAATAACAATGAGTGAATTCGATAGATGTGCTAAGTCAACTGCATAAATACAAGAAAATGAATAACAACAAAACAAAGTGATGCCGACTACAATCAATTTCAAATTTCTTGATTTACCAGTTTCTGAAATTATTTTAGGAAACGAACGAAGACAATTCAATTCTATATTAGTTTACATAAAACCTCTCTAAGGTGAAAGTTTCGGGGGGAAAACAGCTATTCTTTTTTATACAATGGGACAGGGAAGGATTTCACTATTAAGAAACGATACTACATAACTTAGTCCATGCTGATTATTTACCCATTAGGATTTTCATTTTCTTTGTCACTGTCACTTTCTTCATCCAACATGTTGGCTCCTTTATTTTTTCCGCCATTTTTCGTTCTTCGTGCTTCTTTACAATTAATCAACGGACTATACTGCATAAAAGGTGAATGATATTTTATGCTATAATTTGATATAATTGTACAATAGAGCTATAACTTTTAAATTTAGCCGAATATTTACCAGAAACAAATTATTTACTTATTAACTGAATCTTTTTGTATCCTATAAATGAAGCAATGATTGAATTATTTGCTGTATTAATCTAAGAAATTAGAGGTTGTAAAACATTGATAAATGAACTATTTTCGTCCTCGATTAGATATTTCCTTTAAAAAACGATTTCTAATATATATTGTTTTATTTATGTTCATATTTCCTTAAAAACAGGAATGAAATATGACTATATAGCCATTTGATAAATAATTTTCCACTTCAAACACTTTTTTTTCTATAAATTTCCTATCTCTGTGTCGTCTGTCCACGAAATTAAAATTTATTTCTGTGCATTTTTAACTCAAAAGAAACGAGCAAACATTTCCCAAAAATTGAATAGCATTAAGACACTGCTGCATTTTACTCTTTAGAGCGGGTTAAGTCCGTGATGGTCCAGAGGTATTATTAGACAGTCTTTGATGCCAAAATACCGATATTTTTGGTTTCGATCCTCGTTCACGAACACTATTTCTTAACTAGCAATGCAGAAACTGTTAACACATCAAATAGAGTGGGACCTCCTTAAAGTATATATTGTTGTGGCTGTAAAAACCAACTGAAGTCTTAAAAGAAGCGCCCACGAAGCAAAGCCATTTCAAAAATTTTACTCGCTAAATGTATAGCTACATGTTCTTCAAAGTTGACACAATATGCGACGCATGATGAATTTCATTGAAAAGAGATTTAATTAACTGTACAAAATAGTCCAAAAGTCACTACAAAAATTGAATTGCCTATAGTGTCTGAAGGAATGTGCAACAGATTAAAGTTGTTTAACAGAAAGACGAAGAGGCGTAACATTGAAAGTTCTTAACAAAGAGGCCAGAATTGAACTCTATTCGGTTTGGTAATCTCATCCCCGCTGGTGTACGATGTTTCCCGCTTTATTTAACTGGCAATTATATAAAGCCTTTAGTTCAGATTGAAATACGAATAGGAAAAAAAGTAGAACTCTGACTTCTACCGAAATATTGCAGCTTTAGTAAGGTTTAAGAAACTAAGAACACCGTCGATTGTGTTTTGATCATCACACACTGACTTATTATGATTGCAAATCACTCTCGGGGATTTCTGAATGATATTTCAATGACCTTCACAAACACATCACATAAATGTAAGGTTTAGAAAGAAAGATCAGTTAGAGATGTTTTTAGTATTTTCCTCTTCATAATGAAGCGCGGTCTTTCAAATGATCTGATCGCTACACTGTTTGAGTTAAGTAGTCGCCGAAAAATAACCCATATCATTATACAGACTGGAGTAGCTTTGTGAAATATTGCTAAGGAGTCTTGTCGCCCGCGTGGCGCAGTGGTTAGAGCATCTGCTCTAAGAGTCGCGTAGTAAGGAGTCGATCATTACGCCGCGGGTAAGAATCCTTTTGGGGACGTTGAGACCGGTTCTTAGGTGAAACCGAATAAACAGAAGTCCCGCAGAAGTTCTGGCACGAAACAGATCCATCACTACTCAATGGCACTGAGCGCTAAGAATAGGACAAAATTTGTTGCTCTCCATCGCAAGTGGTGGCGTCCCCATATGAGTGAAAAAAAATTCGAGAAAGGCGTTCAACAACATACGTTCAATCGATTTTAGGATTCCATTATCTTTCGCGTGAGTCCATTATAGTGAAAGACACAACTTTGCAGTTGTTCACAGATCCAATATCCGACACCGTCACTTCGGGAATGGATGGGACATATTTATTTATAACAAAAAATTCTGCTTGCAAATTTCAATGACTTTCATCTCTAAGCACAGAAACATTCCACTTGTTAACTTGTTTATTATCATCTCCACAACAAGCTTTATTGTTGATTGATTGATTGTATATTTTTAACGTCAATCTCGGGAATTTTTTACTCAGATGGAGACGCCACTATTGCGGGTCGATGGATTGTATATTGTTTAATGTCCCTCTCAAGAACTTTTCACTCATATGGAGACGCCACCACTTGCCGGCACTTAGGGCTATTGAACAGGTAGGGATCTTTTTCGTGCCAGCACCTACTGCGATACGGGACCTTGGTTTATACCATCTCATCCAAAGAACCGGTCTCCACATCCCAAAGTGGGACTCGAACCCACGTCTAGTGTCAAAGGTCCGCTTGGTAGTTGAGTCAGCAAACGGACAAATCAAAAAGTGGAAGGTTCTAGACAATGTCATTCCTAATAGCCAAATACCTTCCACAAAGAATATTGCGCAAAGCAAGTGTGCATGCAATGATATTCATATGTAAATGCAAACCGTTTTTAAACCAGAAGTCTCTGTCGAGACTGAAGCTCTTCTGGTTTGTTCTTATAGCAAAGGAAAAGAAAAGTTCTTAAGCAGTTGGGAATTGAAACTTTACCACAGCATAAAAAGAATAATGAGCCTTGATTAAGTCTCTTTATATTCTTAGTGTAGTCTACTTGCATGCCACATTATATTATAATCAGACTTAAACTGTATTTGGAGTAGCATTTTGAGAGTTTTTAACAGAAATTTTTGTTTTTAGTTACCACGGAAACACGGTTCATCGAAATCAAAAACCGATATACAGAATTGTGTATCTTAGTGTAGTCTACTTGTATGCCAAGTTATATTGAAATCAGACCAAGACTGTAGGAGGAGTAGCATTTTGAAAGAATTTCACAGAAATTTCTATTTTTAGTAACCACGGCAACACCGTTCATTGAAATCAAAAACCGATACATAGAATTAAAAACTTGTGTGCCAAGTTATATTGAAATCAGACCAAAACTGTAGGAGGAGTAGCATTTTGAAAGAATTTCACAGAAATTTCTATTTTTAGTAACCACGGCAACACCATTCATTGAAATCAAAAACCGATACAGAGAATTGTGTATCGTAGTGTAGTCTACTTGTATGCCAAGTTATATTGAAATCAGACCAAAACTGTAGGATGAGTAGCATTTTGAAAGAATTTCACAGAAATTTCTATTTTTAGTAACAACGGCAACACCGTTCATTGAAATCAAAAACCGATACACAGAATTATGTATTTTAGTGTAGTCTACTTGTGTGCCAAGTTATATTGAAATCAGACCAAAACTGTAGGAGGAGTAGCATTTTGAAAGAATTTCACAGAAATTTCTATTTTTAGTAACCACGGCAACACCGTTCATTGAAATCAAAAACCGATACACAGAATTGTGTATCGTAGTGTAGTCTACTTGTTTGCCAAGTTATATTGAAATCAGACCAAAACTGTAGGAGGAGTAGCATTTTGAAAGAATTTCACAGAAATTTCTATTTTTAGTAACAACGGCAACACCGTTCATTGAAATCAAAAACCGATATACAGAATTATGTATCTTAGTGTAGTCTACTTGTGTGCCAAGTTATATTGAAATCAGACCAAAACTGTAGGAGGAGTAGCATTTTGAAAGAATTTCACAGAAATTTCTATTTTTAGTAACAACGGCAACACTGTTCATTGAAATCAAAATCGATACACAGAATTATGTATCTTAGTGAAGTCTACTTGTGTGCCAAGTTATATTGAAATCAGACCAAAACTGTAGGAGGAGTAGCATTTTGAAAGAATTTCACAGAAATTTCTATTTTTAGTAACAATGGCAACACCGTTCATTGAAATAAAAAACCAATACACAGAATCATGTATCTTAGTGTAGTCTACTTGTGTGCCAAGTTATATTGAAATCAGACCAAAACACATTTTGAAAGAATTTCACAGAAAATTTTTAGTAACCACGGCAACACCGTTCATTGAAATCAAAAACCGATACACAGAATCATGTATCTTAGTGTAGTCTACTTGTGTGCCAAGTTATATTGAAATCAGACCAAAACTGTAGGAGGAGTAGCATTTTGAAAAATTGTTTACAGACAGACAGACAGACAGACAGACAGACAGACAGACGGACGGACGCCGGACGCATTACTATCGCATAAGCTCTTCTGGTCTCTGACCAGTAGAGCTAAAAAGCAACGATCAAAAGGATGACAAATTAGCAAGGAAAATGATATTAACCATCCCGAAAACAAAAATCGTTCATTAGAAAAAAACCTCAAAAATTTGAGAAAATATAAATAAAATCAACTAATGTAGAATAACAACATGCATTATCAGAATTTCCCAAATCAAGAAGATTAATGCCATATGTTGACTTTTGGGGGTGTATCAAAAACAAGCCCGAACCTATTCAGATGAACACCGCGGGGAAGGTGACAATAAAATTGATCTCTCTCACGAGGAAACACATTTAATACTACACGTCCGTATACAATCATGACACACGTCAAGAAAATTGTACAATATCTGAATTGAGTATTACCAGGAAAATGTGACCGGATGGTATTGTGAATGCTAGGGTGCTGCACGCAAAAACAGTTGGATGTTGCGTACACGTATACTATGTTGTGTTGTGTTTACCTGGTATTTGCAAGACACAATGGTTTCAAGGCTGCTCCTAATTATTCACATATTCACTGTGCGTTACATATGACACTGTTGCAGAAACCTAAGTTTGTTTAGGCCTATCCTATTGTGGTCATGCGACCTCATTGTCCATTTGACTGGAAATATTTTACACTATGAATTACTCGTCAAAACGATCTCTGCAGATTTCATGCCAAACACGCCCATCTTCTTTGCAAATAACTTTCTGTCCAACATTAACAGGAAAGTCAGTCGTAAATTCCTTTGTAAAACGGGCCCCTGGACCCGCCAGCAATATGTTGAACTGCTATGACTATAATGTTGTTTATACATCGTACCGTCAAAAGATCCCACGCATACGGGTAAACATACATAATTATACTATTCAAAAAAGTAGGGGATACTGTAGTTTGTGGTCATAACGTTCACACATACAAAGGGATAGAAAATAATGTTGTACCGGTATAGAAATTCATCACCAAAATATCGATCACACTCTCAAGATCTGCACTGGATGTTACTACTGATCAAGGGTGTTGTGCCACTAATTTGCATGCCTCTGAATCGGAAGATTAAAATCACTCTAAAGAAAGTTTCTGAAGAGATAGCAGGCTATCAGTTGTTGAAGTCGTTTAAAACAAGAGATCTTGCGCCAATTTACTCAGAATGAGATGTTACGTGTCCTTGGCATGTTATAGGTTAACAAAGACAGATCGCTGTAACAAAGGCAATGAATGTTTCCCAGTCTGTTATCAGCAGATTACTGGTATGGTCCAGACATCGTACTAGGATAGACCACGACCAAGGACAACAAGTCTGGCTCAGAAATGATTCATTCGCACTATTGACTTGAAAAATCGTCTGGTTCAAGCAAATCAAATGTCTCTTCAAAGAGATACTGACTTAGTAGTGAGGTCAGACAAAGAGGAATCGACTGCACAAATTTCACTTACATGCTCGACTCCTCGTAACATTCCAAGCTGTTTAGAGGATCTTCACATTGGGCCCGACTCCAATGGTGTCGTCATCATCATTGCTGGGATAATCGCCAATGGAACCATGTAATGTTCTCAGATGAGTCGAGATTCACTGTAGACTTCATCGAAAGACGCAGAAGAGTTTTGCGTTGACGTAACGAACGTTTCAATGACGTAAACGTCATTAGCTATGGGGTGGATCTGTAATGGTGCGGGGACACATCATTTGCCGACGGAACAGACTTGCATTGTTGTTGCTGGACGTGTCTCAGGGCAGTACTAACAGGACAGTATTTTAGCACCCCATGTTTTGCCGTTTGCACGTTGTTATCACCGCCGTTTCATTTTAAGATGATAATGCTAAATTTCGTAGGGCCAGGCTCGTTACAGACTACCTCCAACGGCAGAGTATCACCACATTACCATGGTCCGCACTCGGTCCGGACCTTTACCCGACTGCACATGCCTGAGACATGCTTGAACAGCGGCTGTGCCGTGTACAACCTCCTTGCAATATCCAAGAACATTCTACTCTAACAGCATTGCAACAGGAATGAAATAATCTTCACAAAAAGGACCACGGACGTCTTGTTAGAAGTTTCATGCAACGCCGAATACGAGCTTATCTGGCCAACCGGGGAATACATGTATTACCTACTACTGAGTCTGTTTCACAGTGGTGGGGGGACGTGGAGACCGGTCCTTCGGATGAGACCGTGTAAACTGAGGTCCCGTGTCGCAGTAGGTGCTGGCACGAAAATGATCCCTCCCTGCTCATTGGCCCCAGGTGCCGAGTATAGGACAAAATTTGCAGCTTTCAACCGGGAAGTGGTGGCGTCTCTACATGAGTGAAAAATTCGCGAGAGTTATTAATCAATATACAATCAATCAATCAATCACAGTGGTGGTTTTGCTGTGTGAACCTGTGTTGGTGTCGACCCTTATTCTGGAGAATCTGTCCTGTTCTGACAGTAGAAAGGGTTTTGAATAAACTGACAGATGTTTCCTTTATGTTTTTCTTTGATTTGTTTCCTTCCTAACTGCATTGTAAAATTAAAACATATTTTCAAGCTTTATTTCCATAAACTTTTTTTTATTCTCAATTAATGCAAAACTCCACTCCAAAGTGTGCTTTCTTACTTGCTCCGGGGGTTCTTGAAGCAACATGGATCCGATAAACTGCATGGCGGCGTAGCAACCTCCCAACAATAGAAAACTGTGAGGAACCCTGTCTAAAATATTGTCCTGAGTAAAATACCTAAAAAAGGAAAATCAAAAAGTACTTAAATCAAAAGAAGAAAATTGTCAATATAGATTTTGACTGTGTACATGTTGAATAGTGAGAACAATTGCACTAAAATATGAATCTTTTATATACTTTTCTCCATCTTCGTTTAAATCTGCCTTCTGGTTGTTTGGATTGATGAAAGCTGTTTGAATTTGATCAAAGATAAAAGCTCCGCCTCCAAAACCAGCAACAACACAGCCATTAACCAATCCTTCTTTGTGTGGTAGCCACTGCATAATGAGCAAACGATAAACACTAGTTAAAAAAAGACAAACACTAGGAACTTCAACATTATTGTTTCGAGTCTTAGATCTGTTGATGTAGAATCCCCATCCCCACCCCACCCAAACCCCGAAAAAATAAACAAGATGAACGCCTTGTATTCAAAGAGTAATATACTGTACGTATATTTTCTTTAAATAGTAATAAAAACAACCATGGAGCATAGGATTAAGTCAGTCATTTCTATCTCTTGACCTTTGACCATAACATATTCGTAAAATTAACACACCTTCATGGCACACCCCATTGGTGTTGCATAAGCCAAACCGACACCAATTCCAAACATAAATCCATATGTGAATAAGGTCCAATAAAATGAAGATTTTATGGTGAAGTATGTAAGCGCTACACCTGCGCTGAAAAAATATAAAATGCAAAAATCAATATACAAAATAAAGTTAATATTTTTCAAAACACTACTTCAAAGGAAGAAGAGTGCCATACCGTAAATCTGGAAATTTTTACGTCGATTTTATTTTGCGAATTCGGGTCAAAACGGTGTTGATTAATTTTTACGTTTCAAAATTTTGCGAATTACCACTGCTTTGTTTACATTTTCTTATTGGTAATTTATTTTTAAGAAAAATATTTTTGCGAATGCAATGAACTCGCAAATTTGCTAAAAATCTATCTACAGCAAAAATTTCCAGATTTACGGTATGTTCGATAGTATAACTTATGTGCAACTTAAAAGGTTTGCATTTGTCGATAATATTGTTGGAGAATAGAGGTTTTATTTTGAAAAGTTGTCAGTTTCCTATTAACTTATCTGCAGTATTTAGGATAATTTATTATCTATCAAACATGCACCTTAAATTTGAATGTAAAAAAAAAAAGGCACTTTTGCTCCATAACTATGAACTTAATTTGTTTATTTAATACTCAGGAACAGAGAAGAAGATTTTCAAAGATTTTAATGCATTTTCACTATTAATCAATAGAGCCCCGCCCTAACACCAGAACCCCTGAAATTTTGGCCATAAAATGTATATATATTTAAAAGCAGGTATTGTGTATCATAAAATGAACTTAAAAGTTTATTTCAATTGCCAGGAACAAGAAGAAGATTTTCAAAGAATTTGCATTTTCACTATATAATTTTAGAGCATTGCCCTAATACCAGAAAAATATTTTGGGGCCATGTGTTGAAAATTTTGGTAGTTGTACATTTTTTTTATCATAACTATGATTTTAATTAGTTTATTTAATACTCAGGTTATCACCAGAAGAAGATTTTTCATAGAAATAATGCATTTTCACTATATAATGGCAAAATCGCCCTAACACCAGAAGTTTAACCCTGGGGCCATAAAATTCACAATTTTGGTAAAAAACTTTTCTGTATCATAACTATGAACTTATTTTTTATTTCAATGACCAAGATTTATTCTGAATTTGCAGGATTAAAGAAGTTATAATGTTTTTTCACACTATATCGCTTTTCTAATAGAGCGTAACATGAGTATATGCCATGTAAGGGGTTAAGAAATTATGAGGAGTAATTTGAATTTGTCCGTTTTAAAAACGGTCAATCAAGGACAGGGCGAAAATAAATCGGGAGCGAAAATTTCCCTGTATACAGTATGTATACTTTAGCACTGTACGTCGTATATCTGTGGGTATAATGGCAACTTAAATAAAGTGAACTGTTGGCATTATATATTACATCGTTTTAAAGTGTGCATACACTCTCAAGTAAAATTTAAGCTTTTTTGAAAGGTATGAAATTTCAGTTTATCTGCATTTACGTGTTTTATAAATTATAAATTTCACTAAAGATATTTTAAAGAATATCTATCTTTTTCTTTAACTCTGTACCAGAAGGCTGACAGATAAATAACATGTATCGTAGACAATAACACTATGTGTGTATATAGAAGTAGTATCTTTGGTAATACTACAGTAACTACATGTATTAATTTAAAGAATAGGTTACCAAATGTTCACCTTGCCAACCAGCCGCCAATAAGCGTGGAGAGTTTTGGTCCCAGGGCTTTGTACAGCATACCTCCTAGAAACATGGACGCTCCCTGGCCCATCGCCGCTAAAGACATGATCCACGTACTCTCCGCATAATTCAGAGTTTCATCTACTTTATGTTTTTTCATGTAGGATGTCATATAGGGTGTCATGTTTCCTTAAAAAGACAAAGCAGACCAAAAAGTAGTAAAATTCTTATTTTCCCACCTTGAACGCCAACTTGAGGTTATTTGGTGATTTTAAGATTAAATGTGGCAGGAACATGTCCGAACTTAATCATTATATTTGTAGGTCATGATCCAAGACTTGGTGTAGACAGATGAAGTGAAATGGTTCTCGCGCAGAAGTACGTGCAAATTTGATCATTGGGGGGGGGGGGGGGGAGAGATTTAAGGATTTTAAAGCGGTACACCTCTGAAATGAAGAAATGCCGTGGATTACCATTCCAATCTCTCATATGTAGGAACACGGAACATGTGAAGAAAAGAGGACTTGTAGATTAAGGAAAGTACACTCAGTGTAATGAAGCTTTTTACCCCCACCCCGTCCAGAAGAAATAGGTTTTTAGACTTCTCCGTGATCTGTCACAGAGCATTTCCCGAGTCCGACATTTATATGACTTTGTATGGATCCCTACCCCGGTAAAATGCCTGGATATATATATATACACGTGCATGCGTGCATGGTCATGACAATCGAGTCGTTTGGTGTTTGTTAGTAACTTCTGAAACAAATTCATTTTACATGAACCAAGTAACAATAGTATAAATGCATTATATTGATTTAACTTTGATGTTTTCTACAAATTGATGAAATGCTGATTAGCGACAATGTTGTGCTCGCATTTTATGATTACATGTATTTACAATATATAAGACAGTGACATACGATGAGTGGAAACTTTCTTTCTCAACAACATATATGTGTACATGATAGCAATGCATACTGGTGCATTCAGAAACGGATGACTGCTCACGACAGGTAAATAAAAATTAAGATTCCCATAATATGTGAATTTAATATTTATCGTTACACATGTATATGTAGTGTATATACTTATCGCTGTTTACATTTCTGAACGTAGTGGTACGGGAAACGAACTAAACTGACCTAGATATAAATTGTATATCAACAAGTTCATGTACATACCAAACGTATATATAGTTCCCAGGGTCAGGTGAATGAGCACTCCTCCCAGTACCACGGAGTAGCCCCTCCATCTTCTACTGACACATATCATTTCACTACACAGGATTCCGTGTTTGATGAACTGTCATAAGGTTAACAAACGCTCAGATATCTCACGTGACAGATAATTTAAGTATGAATCGGTTTGAAAGCGCACTTGTGATGAAGCAAACAATAAACGCAAATATGTTCCTTCTCCTACAAGAGTAGGTTATAAATCCTTTTAAATTTAAAAATAAGAGAGAGCTACAACTTACTTGTGATGCAAAGCTGTTAATTTTTTACTGAATAAGAACTCGATCAATGAAACGCTCATTGATCATTGATGTGCAATATTTTATTTCCAAGTAGGTAAGTATAAATATTATCATTTAAATGATAAAAAATTTGCGATACAAATTAGTTATTACAAGATCAACAGAAATGGCACTATTTAATTGCATTTGTTTATAAATGTAAAGAAGTTTGTGAGCCAATGCTTACGTGATGCTTACTAGTAATATGTAATACGACTGCTACCCCAAGAGGGGAATAATAAAATATTCTGCTCTTGGGACAGTCAGGTTCGAGGGAGTCTCCACCTGAGAATTTTACCTGATGGTAACAAAATAAGACAAAGATAATAATGATGAAAATATATGTTTCGTTTCAATTATACAAAAAAAAAAACAAGAAAAAAACAGGAACACGTAATTAATGAAATTATTAGAGGTTACAATGTATGTAATATAATTGGTATTTTAGTTTGCCATGGAGTTCCAGTTCGACATTATCGAGTATCAGGAGGAGTTGGAAGAGTTCGAGGAGGGTCAGAGACCGCCATTCCCGTTGTCGGGAATGACCTGTCCTGTTGTGGAATGCGCTGGGGGAGGGGGGAGTTCTTCTCCAGAATTGGTCAGCTATTGGACCACTGGATAAACATCCATAAGGAGAAAAGACGGCTTTTCAAATGCAAGTCGTGCAAAAGATGTTTCAAGATGAAGTCGCAAGGAAGGCGACATGTTGCTTCTATTCATCGTAGAGAACAGCTAGATGGCCTACTGGTGGAAACAGAAGTACAGAATAAGAAGTTCGTGGATCCCAGGGAAGCTGGTGGAAATAGAAGTACAGAGAGAAAGATGACTGCTGGTGAGAAAAGAGAGTGTATGAGAGAGGAGGAAAGGAAAAAGAGGTTAGCCATAAGGGAAGAGAGTGAAAAGAACCCCTTGTTCGACCAAGAGAGGCTGATCAGAACCAATGCCACCGTTAACAGGGATGAGGTGATGACGTTTGATGACGAAGGAAACGCCACCCGGCTGCGCCTCTCTTTAAAGAGAAAGAATTCCGACTAGAATTAAAAACAAAAGAAATGGTCACCAAACCTCGAACTGTTAAAACCCATATAACTGGACAAGATAATAGACTTTAAACCTATCAGATTACGTTTAAATAATAAGATATAGAGTTATGGAATTAAAGGCTGTATGGACGTCTATAGTAAACAAAGATGTCTAAAAACGTGAGGTAAGTAAACAATTGACTTTAAGAAAGATACTATCCATGGACTAAGTGTCAAATTAGTTAGATATTCTTTTTTTTTTTTTAATTTTATTTATTGTTTTTCCATGGTTTTACAAAAGGCAAAATGAGAGAGAGAGAGAGAGAGGGGAGGAAGGAAGGGAGGGAAAGGAGGGAGGGGGAGAGCGCGAGAGAGATATCAATTAAATAAATTCTTCCAATACTTCCAGGCCTCATCAAATTTTTCTTGTTCATTGTTTTTCTTTGCTATTATTTTATTAGTGTCATATAATATTTTTATGGAGGTTCAAAATTCAGAGAAGGAGTATTGTTGGCACATCTCATACTGTAAATAAAATACTTAATTTGGAGAGCAATAAGAGTTTTCACTGATATTTTAGCAAAATACTTCAAAGTTTTTAAACTTAATTGTAGAGACTGTGCACTACCATCCAATATAAGAGACATAAAACTGCTAACATAAAAATCTTATATTCTTTATCTAATAATTTATCTTTTATATTTTTATTATTCCTAATTAAAATTGCTAATATTTCAGCACAAATCAAAAATAGATAGGGGGATGTGGATCACCTATTGGCGACACCCACGGTGTAAGAAATGCAGAAATATGACCACCTTGATTAACTGCTGCTGTAATATTTGTGTAAAATAATTTTACCGTTTTAAAAACTGAATAGAGTTACCAAATTTAAAAAATTGAAGTGACTTTTGGATGAATGACCAGGATATTGAGTCGAAAGCCTTCTCAGAGTCAATTAGAAGAAGCAGCCCTGGGATATTTTCCTCTTCTGTATATTGCATAATATCATAAATGGTTCGAATATTTTCTGATATATTTCTACCTTTTATAAAACCTGTTTGATCAGAATGAATTATTTTGTCTAAATGTTTTTTAATTCTATTTGCAATTATACCAGATGCAATTTTATATACTGTATTCAGTAAAAAAATATTTCCAAAGAAACTGTCTTTTTGTCTCCCTTTGGTAGAGAATGTAATGATAAATGCATGTTGTGTTATACTTAGATTATGTAGTGTAAATAACCATAATTAATTGACCTTACTACAAAAGTACCTAAAAGTTTCCAAAACATTTTAAAAAATTCTGATGCGAACCCATCTGAGCCTGGTGATTTATTAAGACTTCATTTTATACAATGTTTCCCCTGCTTCTTCTAATGTGATATGACCCTCTATAGATTTGGATTCTTCTTCCGAGAGTTTAACAATGTCTGGATATTTAACTTCCTCCTCCAAATTTACATTCTGTATAGATTCATCAATGTTTCGATATAACTTTTGATAAAAATGTTTTGTTTCTTTTAAAATATTTAACTGATTATAAATAATGTCTCTGTTATCCAATTCTACTCTTGGGATAATTTTATTTAGGAAATTTCTGGATTCTAAACTACAAAAATATTGTGTTGGTTTTTCACCTTCTTCATTATATCTTGCTCTAGGAATATAAACACCAGCCATTTTTTGTTTTCTTATATTTTCTAATTCTTTCTTTTTACTATCAAGTGCATCTACATCTAATGCAGTTGGTTCACACCTCTCAAGATTTTGGATTTCTTTATGAGCTTTTCTTCTTTTTTTATTCTAGATTTTTTTTTAAAAATGAGTAAGAAATACATTTACCCCTAATTTCCATAAGGAGAGTCTCCAAAAATAATTGATCATTTATTGTAAAAGTAATTTCTTTATCGTCAATTAGATTAAAATTTTCAAAATTGTAAATAGGTGCTGCATATTGTTTTTTAACATTTTCTATAACAGTTTTTATTGTTTTTAAAAACTCATCGTCATACAAAAGGGAATTGTTGAACTTCCATAACCCTTTACCTGTCTTGAATATAAAAATAAATTCAGACTAATCATTGAATGGTCAGACCTATAACTAGGTTCTATGGAGCTTGCTCTGACACTGGATAATAAGTTTCCTGATATAAGAAGAAATCTAATCTACTTTGTTTCAATGGAGATTTATATTCCAAGTATATTTAAGTATTGATGAAATTCTCTATATAATCTACATAGTTATTATCTTCAATGAGTTCAATAATCTTTTGTCTTGCATTTGGGTTATTCACGTTTTTATAATTAAAACAATCTAATTCAGGTTTCAATACTAGATTAAAATCACCACATATTATAATGTTCTCAGATTGAAAATCCTCAATATATTCTTGAAGTTTAGAATAAAAAGCTGGGTTATCATTGTTTGGCCCATAAACACAACACAGTAGTAACTTTTTTTCAAGTTGTAAATTCTAATAAAAGGTAATTAATCACTATCACCCTTCTGCTTAGAAACGGAAAAATCAAAATTGTTTTTAAATAAGATTGCTACGCCTCTGGAGTTAGAGGAGTATGAACTAAAGTAACAATCATATCCCCATAGGTTCCTAATATCATTTTCTGCCTCTGGTGTGAAATGGGTATCTTGAAGACAGTATATATTATAGTTCATATTTCTTAAATAATGAAACACGTCTCTACGTTTGTTGATGTCCCCCAAACTTGACAATTAACAGATATAATTTTCAACGACATTTGCACATTTTTAATAATACATATTTACCTTTGATGAGACCGGAAGTCTTGGATTTATGGATATTGCTCTCTAAAGAAATTGAAACAAAGAAGGAAAAGAGAAGGGAAAGCAGAGAAACTGATGAAAAGACAGAAGAGTAAAGCGAAGAAGAAGAAATAAAAGACATACAACAAAACAGTTCAAAAAAAATGCGAGTGGCTTTGGCCGTATAATATTGTCCGAGGCCATGCAGTTTATATTTTCACATTCCGCCAGCAAATCGGAAATCGTCAGTAAACGGTAAATAGATAATTTGTACCCTCAGTTTTCGTGTATTTCTTGCACCAAAACTGCAGTATAAATTATCATTTAATGGATGGTACAAAAAAATTCCGATACAAAAGTTACAAGTCATCACTTTTTTCTTGTTTTGATTTTTTAATATTGTAAAAAGTTCGAACTTCATTCCTGTACCGTCTGTTTCGCCGTATACACTACCGTTGAAGTACCAGGCATTTTCGATTTCCGGATGATTCATAAGTCGGTTTATCAGAAGGGCATTCAGTTTTGTAACATCATCTGTCAGCCAACATTGTCCATTGGTGTTTTTCTTTATGACTGACCTTTTCCGCATAATTGTAGCTTTTGCTTCGTTATCTTTCATTTTTACTAAAATTGGTTTCGGTCCCCCTTCTTTTCCTGGAATTCGGTGTATAGCTATAATTTTGCAGGAACACGTAATTACTCCCCCCTCCTTTTCATGAAATTCTTTTGCAACCTGTGTTATATTTTCTTTTGTATCGTGTTTTACTCCGTTTATCTTAAAGGTGTTTTTTCTTGAATATTGCTCATTTCTATTTGCTGTTACATACGCTGTTGTTGCGAGTCGTTTTGCCTCCCCTAGATCCGCCTCTAACTCTTCGACTCTCTGTTGCAAGTTTTCAATAGTCTGATTTTGTTCATCCACTTTCTCGTGTAGGTTTTGTAAAGCATGACTGTTTTCTTTAATTGTTTCAAGAATAGTAGATGTTTTCTCATCAAAAATTTTTGAAACGATACTTTCT